ATTACCTTGAGCATGTAACGCCGGAAATACCATGTCAACAAATCCATACTGAAGTACGCAAATTAATCATGTAATTACACACTCTGGCTATAAAATGAGTTATTTGTATATCTGGACTTATGTTTGTTACTTATTTCATTAATTTTATTCAAAATTCCTTTTAATATTGTTTTAATTCATTTCGGCGAAATTGTCTGTGAAGCAACTGTGTCATGATTTTACATAAATTAATGATGTATTGCTGTAAAATGTACATGTTTGATTTTATGCCGCTTTTAGCAATATTCCAGCAGTATCACAGCGGGGGTTACACATTGTACCCATATTGGGAATCGAGCCCGGGTCTTCCGGTGTGATGAGCGAACTCTTTAAACACCAGCGGGGAGGTCGGGTAGCCTAGTGGTTAAAGCGTTTGCTCGTCACACCGAAGACCCGGGTTCGATTCCAGACATGGGTACAATGTGTGAAGCCCATTTCTGGTGTCCCCCACCGTGATATTGCTGGAATATTGCTAAAAGCAGCGTAAAACCATACTCACTCACTCACTTTAAACACTAGGCTAACATAATCTTGAAGGACCAAAGCTACTTTGTTCACTGTTCTTGTCCTTTAATAGATTTATTCTTGAAACACATGCTGTATTCCAATAAAATAAGATGATGAATTATTGTCTGGATACTAAATAAGAGTTACGTGATGAAAGCATAGCAAATTCACACTGATGTCATCGGGGCGGTCGGGTGATTCGGTCAGGTGACATCAGGGGTAGATTTAACAGCAAATTTGTGTGTAGCTAGCAGGGTATGCTCCTTTTTAAAGTTACTGGCATTTCTCCGAACTAACTGAACCAGAAATAAATGTTTGACTTGGAGGCCACAAGTGTGTTACCCAGGGGGCCACACTCCGTCGCAGTGGTGACTCGGCATAACACCACTGCCACAGGCTAATTTGCATATCACGTGACCGGACTTTTCTCTTGTTTGTAAACAAATGCGCTTTTTCAGAAATCAGTATAGAACGGACTAATGCAAGTATTTGGGGGCGCTTTACATATTGTTTTGCATAACTATATATATATGCTACTACAACTGCGACAGTGAGTTGCATGACAATATATATTTATGCATCAAAGTGACCGTGTCGCTAGCTCTCTGTTGGGCTTCGATTACACCACGTGGAGCCGTACAACCAATGTAAACATAGGATAACTACGCAAAAACAAGTAGATATTTACGTAGTTGCATACTTTCTAAATGAAAGTTAACCATTCTTTGACATTTGTTTATGAAAATGTGTAGACTTGTCAAACATGAAACGGATGAAAAGCATATACAAATCTTGAATGGACTGTGAAAGATGTGACGAATCGTCACATGGCGCTGGCCTGTGGCAGAGGTACTATGCTAGCTGGCTGCCGGCCTCATGGAACTCTTGGTAGGAGAGTGCTCAGAGGGCTCCAAAGATTTTAGAACTCCCCACCCCTAAAACATAATTTCCTGCATTCTGAGATTTCATCTTGGCTTACATTTGCCTCATTTCATGGCAATTTTATGAGCAAATATAGATGTTGTTGTACACAACATAACAAAATGGCCGCCGGTCGTGTCCTTCTACCGAGATGATCTTTGTAGTTTGGATGAGTTGGTTAGGTGACTTGGTTGACAATGGGGGATCTTGCTCATGCTGTCAATCACTGGTTTGTCTGGTTCAAATTCTGTAAAGACGAGTTCAGCGTTAACATACATTGTGATAGTCGGTGACAGTCGATAAATTGATCCATACAAAGTAGTCATATCTTTGCTCATTAATCATTGAGTAATTAATAAAAAGTGGATTTATGTTTACAAAGTATGTCTTCTTAATGCTTGCATGCTTGCCGTAAAAGGCGACTATGCACGTCATAAGAGGCGATTAGCCGGATCGGGTGGTCAAGCTCGCTGACTTGTTTTGATGCATGTCATTATATCACAGTTGTGTAGATCACTGGATTATCTGGTCCAGACTCGATTATTTGCAGACCACTGTCATATAGCTGGAATATTGCTGTGTGCAGCATTAAGCAACAAACAAGCAAACTGAATGCTTGCCTTACCGTGGAGATTCTTGTTCAAAATTGTCCTCAATACTTCATAATTATTTCCATGGGAATAACAATGAAACTTCTTGCACTGATTGTTGCTCATGCTGTCAACCACTAGTTATCATGGTTATTGTGGCAGAGCCTAGCTAGATGACTGGTGTGTGTGATATGGTTGTAATGTGAGCAGATGTACAGTGAGCGGGAGGATGTCGCTGTCAGTATGTCACCTACTGTAGCAACTGGGGGCACGGGTGGCCCAGTCGTCTAAGGCGCCGCGATTCGCTGTGCAGAGTTGCGTCCCTTGGGCATGCCAGAAACCTATGATTGTGGGTGCGAATCCCGGTTCGCCCCGATTATGTTTCTAGGTTTATCAGCACCGTACCCATGCTCGTGGGTTTCACCGAAGTGGTAAACGTCTGAGACCTGCATCACTTCGGGCTTTCCTCCCACATTAAGCTGACACGCCGTGATATAACTGGAATACTGTTAAAAGCGGCGTTAAACCCAACTCACTCACTCACTCACTACTGTAGCAACTGAAACATCCTCAACAGGGTGCACACACCTCACCTGGTCACATGGCTGAATCTGTTGCTGTATGGACAGATGGACACAGTAGGAGACAATGTCACATGTTTGATAATGACCAATGTGACATGTTTGAGATGAGGTGAAACGGGGTTTAACGTCGCGTCCATGATTATTGCACTTATATAGCGACGTGCATGTTCGTGTGTGTGTGTGTGTGTGGCTGCTTGTACTAGTCCGGACTGATGCCGATTTATAGTGCTAGCACTCTGAGATACCATGACACAGTATACTGACTCTGAGCTGACCAGTCCTTGTTTTAGCCCCTCAATGCCAAGCCCCAGACAGGGTAACAACAAATCGCATCTTTTGACGTCTTTTGGTATGACGCGGCCGGGGATCGAACCCCAGACCTTCCGCTGTCTGGGCGAACGCTTAACCACTAGACCACGGAGGCGGTCGACATGTTTGATAATACTTGATGTGATATATGTTTGATAATGACCCATGTGACATGTTTGATAATGCCCTATCAGGCCTCAAAGTTGCGACTAAAACGGTAGTCAATGCGACCTGAATTTCAGTTTGTCTATTGTCTAAAATTCAGAGGTGGCCAAATGACTTTGAGGCCTGCCTTTGTGACATATGTGATAATGCACTATATGACATGTTTGATAATGCCCTATGTGATATGGTTGATAATGCCCTACGTCATATGTTTGATAATGTCCTATGTGATATGGTTGATAATGCCCTATGGCACATGTTTGATAATGCCCTAAGAGATATATTTTTTATCGTAACCGATGATCCTATGTGTTATGTTTCATTTTGCCATATGTGAAATATGTTATCAAATAGTGTTTTCAATGTAGAGCTGGGTTACCTGTAGATTTAACCATGCTAACTTGAATTAGGAACCGAATTGCAGCTGAGGTTTCAAATGTTAAATTTGACAGGGTTAAAACTACTGGTAAACTAGCTCTACATTGAAAACACAGTATGTTTATCTCCATTCTACCATGACTAAATAAAAACGTGAACTCTTTGGAGCTAGCAAATATATTGAGTGAAGCGGCATCGGTTGAGTCCAGTGTTTTGAGAGAGCTGTCGATCTGAATTACGGAATCACCAACAACAGCCTTTAAACAAAGTATATCGCTGTATATGCTCAAGCAGTCTGTTTACACCGTAATATTTCACTCGAACATGACAGGCATTGAAAGCATATAAGCACAGCAACTTGGTAAGCTAACATGAAGTGGGTACTCCTAAAGAAAACTTAGCCAGCTTTGCAAAGCTTTCGTTCTACACCGCATGTCACCATTATGACATCATATCGCACATTATGACACAAAAGATATGATGTCACAGCCAGATTCCAAGCTCTCTGATGTCCTCAAAACTTAAGATACATTCTCTATGTAGATGTCTATCGTGTTTTCTGCACAAAATGTGTTGCCACACATCCCATGAATATTGTAGTAACCACAACTTTTCATTTTGTAAGTTATAATTGTAGATATAATTATTCTAATATGCAAATAACTAAATAACTGAAAATGAAGTTCTATTTTATAAATATAAGCTTCCATGGTGATGTGACCATAAAATTGGCTATATCTACACAGGGGGTTTATTGTGATTTTGACAACCTCTGATTGACCATTCAGAATCGAGTAATTTCCAAATTCATGGTAGAATGTTTGATAATGCCCCATGTAATATATTTTTGATAATGCCCCATGTAATATATTTTTGATAATGTCCCATGTAATATATTTTTGATAATGCCCCATGTAATATATTTTTGATAATGCCCCATGTAATATATTTTTGATAATGCCCCAAATGATTATTGTTAATGTCCCATGTGATGTTTGATAATGCCCCATGTGATACATGTTTGGTAATGCCCCATGTGATGTTTGATAATGCCCCATGTGATGTTTGATAATGTCCCATGTGATGTTTGATAATGCCCCATGTGATACATGTTTGATAATGCCCCATGTGATGTGTGATAATGCCCCATGTGATGTTTGATAATGTCCCATGTTATATTTGGTAATGCCCCATGTGATGTTTGATAATGCACCATGTGATGTTTGATGATGCCCCGTGGGATTTTTGGTAATGCCCCATGTGATATATGTTATGTAAAGCCCCATGTGATATATGTTTGGTAATATCCCATGTGATATATGCTTGGTAATGCCCCATGTGATATATATGTTTGGTAATGCTCCATGTGATATATGCTTGGTAATGTCCCATGTGATATATGCTTGGTAATGCCCCATGTGATATATGCTTGGTAATGCCCCATGTGATATATGTTTGGTAATGCACCATGTGATATATGTTTGATATCTCCCTCTCTGTGTTGCAGCCAATGGGGAGGACTCTGCAGGGTTTGAGGCAGGAATACGGGTGTACCAAGACGTAGATGTAGTTGTTACACAGAAGAACGGACAGTTGTTGCTCAACTGCTCTGTCAAAGCCACTTCAGACTTTGGGCCTTTCCAATACGAGTGGCTAAAGGATGACAAACTTATAGAATTTGAAGAAGTCAACCCCAAAATAAAACTGCTTTCAAATGGGTCACTATATTTCAAAAAGTTCAGGAAACGAAAACGTCGAACGGACGAAGGAGATTACACATGTATTGTCAAGAACAGCATTGGAAGTGTTATAGCTAACCATGTACACGTTCAAGTTGCAAGTAAGTACTACTTTGTATTCTTTGAGAACTGTTTTTTATATATTTGTTCAGAGTACCAATGTTAGGCCACAATTAATTGATTATTACATTTTCATCCATTTGTTTGGCCTCAGTCAAATCTTATGCAGAATGTTAAGGTCAAAACGATGTCACACTAGAAATGACATCACAGCTGAATATTGTTGCGGTCATTCGACAGATATGGTTTTCTAAGACGGCGGTCGTGATCGGTGCATTTTTGTATTGGGGAGCTCAAAAGGATTACGAAATAATAGGTAATAAAGAAATTATTACACTGACATGTCTGTCTTACTAATATCACATAACTCATGCAAAAATTCATGTATTACCCTCGCTTTGACTCAGGAATTACTAGGGTGTGACACTTGTTTCATAAAATCAGTATGACACACAAGCTCATATAATAATCCCAATATGTCATGGCGCATTGTATTTCATTAGCTTTTGTATGTACTTCTCAAACTTGGAGGCCTATGAAGCCTAACTGTATATTCATGATTCAAGCTAGGGTGTGTCTGAAACAAGCTCACAGAATTCTGATCACATCTGATCATTTTAAACAAGGCCTTAATGCTTTAAATTTACGTTTTCGTCAGTGGTATTCTTGATGAACAAGGGCGGTGAGGTAACCTTGTGGTTAAAGTGTTTGTCGTCACACCGAAGTCCCATTTTTGATTTTGTTTTTGAGGTACAATGTATGAAGCCCATTTCTAGTGTCCCCTGGTTTAAGCGTTCACTTGTCACGCCGGGGACCCGTGTTCGATTCCCAACATGGGTACAATGTATGAAGCCCATTTCTAGTTTCCCCTGGTTACAGCGTTCGCTCGTCACCCCGAGGACCCGGGTTCGAATCCCAACATGGGTACATTGTATGAAGCCCATTTCTAGTGTCCCCTGCCATGATATTGCTACAATAGTGCTCAAAGCGGCTGAAAACAATATGCACTCACTCGTGTTGAACATTCATTTTTGGCCCTCTGCTTTGCCAGTTGTGTTATATTTGTTGTGACAGTTAACGTGCTGTGAGAATGCCAGTTTCTGTTATTATCCTTCTCTTGCCCTTCATGATCTTTCTGAACCGACAAAATATTCCAGAACATTTTTTGCCGAGCTGGAGTGTTGTTGATCTGATTTTTAAAATGATATGCCAGGAGGCAATTTGTTTTGTCTTTTATCTTTTAGATTTTATTTTATTTTATTGTTTTGTACCAATTGTTCATGGACAAATGATGGAGTCTGTGTACATTTGTGTCCGTGTGGTTAATCAGAACTCGAATCGGGAATGTTGGGTGGGACAACTCTAGGTCATTACTAGGATTTATTTGTTTTTGTTTTGAGAAAGTTACATTGTGGATGAGTAATAGTTGGAAAGATATAAACAAACTTTGAAAGAAAGTTTATCTTTGTCTCACATACGTATAATGATATGCATACATACAAAATGTATCAATAAATTATGAAAATATTTTTAAGAACATTCCTTATTGTGCATAATTGCCTAAACATGTTTGTGTTCCTTGGAGTGAGTGAGTGAGTGAGTGAGTATGGTTTTACGCCGCTTTTAGCAATATTCCAGCAATATCACGGCGGGGGTCACCAGAAATGGGCTTCACACATTGTACCCATGTCGGGAATCGAACCCGGGTCTTCGGCGTGACGAGCGAACGCTTTAACCACTCGGCTACCCGACCGCCCTCCTTGGAACAATTATATGAGGGAGACACGTTCTGTTCTGACCGCCTCCGTGGTCTAGTGGTAGAGCGTCCGCCCGGAGAGCGGAAGGTCCAGGGTTCGATCCCGGGCTGCGTCATACAAAAAGACGTTAAAAGATTGTACTTGTTGTTACCCTGTCTGGCGCTCAGCATTAAGGGGCTAAAACAAGGACTGGTCTGCTCGGAGTCAGTATACGGTGTCTGAGTGGGGTATTCATGTTAAACTGCGGCATGGTATCTCAGTGAGCTAGCACTATAAATCAGCATCAGTCCGGACTAGTACAAGCAGCCACACACACACATACACGTACATGCACGTCGCTATATAAGTGCAATAATCTTGGACGCGACGTTAAACCCCATTTCACCTCACCTCACCTCACGTTCTGTCCTAGACCTTCCCCAGAGTGTTTGCGCTGCCCACCTGCAGCCGTTAGGAGGGGAGAGACAGGGTACCAGTCTAGCTCTATCCCACCTATTTCCCCATACAGCATTTCGCTGCGGTGAAACGTTGACCCATTTCCGTGTAACGGGTATATCCGTCGAGAGGAACGGTGACAGGCCAACAGAAAATCGCTGTGCGAGGAAAATGTTATTAAAATTAAAGTTAGAATCTGTACCCCCCCATTCTAAAAATCCCTTTTATCCAGACTCGTATGGGGATTTTCTGCCATATATATTTTTGTCTAAAATATGAACCATGTATAGCAGTACTCAGACCAGACGAATACTTATCTTGATACAAACAACACGTTCAATGTATGACAAATCAAGATCATTCGGCATCATCCATAATGGTATTATGATTGTGAATTATTGAAGGACTTCAGTAATATAATGAGGATAAGTAATGGAAAAAAAATGCCAATTGGTATTGTACTAATTGGGACATATTATCGTGGCATTTTGTCTGGCATTCAATTATACCACTAGTACCGAATCGTGCACACCCAAGCATAATGCACCCCCACAGGGAATGTGGGTGTTTGGGAAAAATGCTTTTTCGAGTTTTATGTGCAGGAAAAAAAGTACATTGTATTGCTTCATGTGAATGAGGGGTGGTCGGGTAGCCTTGTGGTTAAACCGTTCGCTCGTCGTGCCGAAGACCTGGGTTCGATTCCCGACATGGGTACAATGTGTGAAGCCCATTTCTGGTGTCCCTCGCCTTGATATTGCTGGAATATTGCTAAAAGCAGCGTAAAACCATACTCACGCACTCACTCACTCATTGCAATTAAATTCCCAATTAAGTACGTTTTTAATTTACTAGGCTTAGTTTTGTTTAACTGTCAACGTGTTTATTCAACAGTCTCCAGTACACACCTTCTCCAACACTTGCTGATAGTTGTAAAAACAGAGGGAATTGATTTCAGCTTTTCCAGTTAGATATCACGTGTTACGTTACGTGAGTTGATCACGTTGTCTCAAGTTCAGAAACTGTAATTTCATTATTGGTTATTTTATTTCTACTTTGTTGCTTATTTCAATGCAACCATATAATTAGATAGTTATTGATGGAAACATGAAATGAAATATATATATATAAAACTGTTATACTAAAGGTGTATCAGATAATTCTAGATGATCCCACTGATGCTTACTTCCGGCTCCGGCTCCGGCTCCCTACCGACGGATATTGATTTTTTTTTACTGTGTCAGCTGGGTTGACAATCTAGATCTAGGTGAGGGTCTTTTAAACTCTTTTGCCGAAAACATGGAGTATGAACAGTTTCAGTTTCATGTTGTTTAACGCCACACTTAACAATATTCCAGCCATATATCGAGTCTGGACCAGACAATCCAGTGATTGATAGTATGAACAAGGCAGTCTGATACAATTGGTGTATATATACAAGAATAGTTCTTGGAACAGTTGTTACAGATGAAATACATAGTTTTGTAGTCAGCGACAGGCTCGCTATCAGAGTGAGTGAGTGAGTGAGTATGGTTTTACGCCGCTTTTAGCAATATTCCAGCAATATCACGGCGGGGGACACCAGAAATGGGCTTCACACATTGTACCCATGTCGGGAATCGAACCCGGGTCTTCGGCGTGACGAGCGCATGCTTTAACCACTAGGCTACCCGACCGCCCCTCGCTATCAGAGGCTGGTGGACATTGCCAGTGGAACCTGATAGTAATACAGCTATACAAAACTGTGAGATGTTCTACCCTACATGCACACTTCCACCCATCCCCCATCATACACCCCCCACTCCCACCCTCTTAAAGCAGTGTTAATCCCAACTTACTTACTCACTCACTCACTCATACCACTAATAATGTGATAAATCATATCACGTCCACGTGTCATACCACTAGGAATGTGATAAATCATATCATGTCCATATGTCATACCACTAGGAATGTTATAAATCATATCACGTCCACGTGTCATACCACAAGGAATGTGATAAATCATATCACGTCCACGTGTCATACCACTAGGAATGTGATAAATCATATCATGTCCATATGTCATACCACTAGGAATGTAATAAATCATATCACGTCCACGTGTCATACCACAAGGAATGTGATAAATCATATCACGTCCATGTGTCATACCACTAGGAATGTGATAAATCATATCATGTCCATATGTCATACCACTAGGAATGTGATAAATCATATCACGTCCACGTGTCATACCACAAGGAATGTGATAAATCATATCATGTCCACGTGTCATACCACAAGGAATGAGATAAGATAAAATAAGATAAGATAATATTTATTGCAGAAACGTTCCATTACGGGACAGATGAAATTTTAAAAGACAAGACATTATGATTCATATATACATATATACAGACATACATAATTTACATTCCTGTAGACACATACAAAAACAAAATAATCAATCTTACATATTTGATGATATTTTTATACATGAAACGTCAACGGTTGATTATGAAGGGGTATTTATTGTTTAAAATTATAGATATGGAAACAAATGCAGTTGATATTGACTGCTTCATTATTTGACAGGATGTAGTGAAATAATTTATCTTCATGACTGTGAACATTTACATTTACATTTTGTCTGGATAATTTTTCAAAGAGTTTATTTCTTTCTTGAGTGTGTTTAATACAGTGAAGTAAGTAGTGATTTTCGTCATCAATGGTTGAACATGTAGAGCATAGCCTCTGATGTAGTGGGGTTGGTGGCTTTGTATGTCTTCCAAGTTCAATATTTAATTTATGGTTACTTAATCTTAGTTTAGAAAAGTGAACTCGATATTTTTTTACTTTACAGTGACTGA